CAAAAGTTATGGAGGGGGATACTTTTTACGTCTTCTCTGTGTTGTTGCACAGAGGCAATAGTTAGGAATCACACGTTGAAAGGTAAGACCTAGTTAGTCCTTAGCTCGCACAAGTTTCGACTTCTAAGAGTTGTCGTTCGTAGGGCTGCGACATCTGGGTAACGGAAAAACAGATTTTGAACAGATTTATTTTCAGTTTGCCAGTTAACATTCAGAGGAAATGCAAACTGAAAAGATCAGCTACTTTAAATTTTCCAATATAAAAAATGCATTTGATCAATGAAAATATCATGAAACAGCATAAATACAATAAAAAACAGCATATTCACCTTCCAAAAGTGGAAAGGCTGTATACGACTGTACAACTGAAAAGAATTCCCAAATGCATTGAATTGAAACTAACGAAATTCAATATCCACATGTAAATGTCACATGAAATATTAATGGCAAGCTTTTCTTTCATGAAATATATTTCCTGTTTCCTATATATTATTTATACAATGTGTTTCATTACATATTAATCTTCGATACATTTTTCAAACCAGAATAAAATAACCAACACAGTTTGTTCAAACTCCCATTCATTCTAACTGTCAACTGATTACAAATTCCGCTAACAAAATATAAATCTGAATTTGATGTATTCATTTTAACTGCGGAATATTTATTTTGTGTCATGCCATATAATTTGTTCATTCGAGGATCAACTTCAATACTCATTAAACATGACGCGTACTGAAACATCGCCAATCATCAATTATAATTCAAAGTGTATTTGTTCATATATCTGATGATTGATTGATCAGAAGGATTTTTCTACTACAGAAATAATTGAATCTTGGTCCATAGTTTGCATTCTAGAAATTATAATGAATGAAGCATAAGTTGGTCCACCTCATACAATAAAAAACACTGGATAATCAAAGTTTTGCGGACATGAATAATGTCTTTGCCTACTCATTCGAACTTCCCTCCCCCCGTACCACCAGGGCATAACGTCGGCCATACAGACGGACGAATTAGCGGGGTAGAAGACCCATTTTCTTTATTTTTCTAACAATGTACTACAATATATACATACAATACTTCATAATGTTACTTCCAAATAAATGAAGCTACATCTCATTGTCTTTTTCTTGTTTCTCCTGAATATTTACCAATAATTTACGATATTTCTCTTGTTCTTCCAGAATATTCAGTAGTAAGTCACGATCTTCATTTCATTCTCTGCCACACTAGCTTGCAAAGCCTTGAACATTTTCTTGAGATCTTCGTGATCGACACTCATTGTTTTCACCATATAACAGAAAATTTTCAGTCAATTATTCCACTTCCGACACCAACTGATACTTTTTTCCCCGTGGGTTGACCGATAATTGACTACACTGAATAACCAAACTCAACTTCATTTCATTTCAAATTTAACAAACACTTCAACTTCAATTTTAACTATTATTTGAATGTTTATCGCCTCACTAGACCACTTCGCTTACCGCACTGTAGCTTCCACTGGACTGTGTCGATATGCTCGAAGCTATCGTTTGAATATCGTTATCGAATGTTGAAGAAATTTCTCCGAAGTTCTGTAGTAGTCGGTAGCATTATTCTTGCTGATTCTCGAGTGGCGGGAATCATCGTGCATTCGCGCGCTCTTAGCTACGTCACGTTGGGTTTATGGTAACCAGTGGCGACCGGCGTTATTTTCTTTCGGGCAGATTTACAAACAATAACATAATGTCCAACCAAATTGAAACAACAATTGTCTCTTTTAACCGTAGTTGAAAAATAAACAAACATAAGTAAAAAAAAATGAAAATGAGTTGATTTACATAATAGACTCTTTTCCTACATTCAATAAGCCCAACCTATGTACCCCAATGGTTCATACCCGACTGTTCTAAAAAATCTGTAGATCAGTCACCCAGTCGAGCCACTGTCCCATTCCCTTTGCCATTCTCTCCTGATACTCTCGTTTATTCGTTTCCATTTTGTTGAGCAGCTTTTTCACATTCCCTTACTGGTCTCTTCGTGTGCTTTCATGTTTCCTGTGTTACTGCCATCATGTTTTGCGGACAGTGGCATGATGTCACAAAACAAAATATAATTTACGACATGTTCCATGTAGATTATTTGAAAATTGGAAGAGATGTGACACTGTATTAGTTTTACTGTGAATCGGTAGAACGTTAGTGTATTTACAAACAATGAATCCATGCTCTAGCAGTGGCATTCATGGTCCTGTGCCAGTCAGAAATATCGATCTCACCAGCGATTCTGATTAGAATGCGAATTCTCCATTCGATCTGTTTTATATCTAAGGGGAACAATACTGAGTTAGCAATAGCGATGTCAACTTCTTTTGAAGACGTTCCTCAGTTCTTGAGGGCTAATATCTGCACATACCTGTCATATAGGGTGTTTTTTGTGACTGTTAGCTGTGTGAGTTTTCGAATTTTTGAGTTGTCATAACTTTGTTAATAATGAATATTTTTTCATGATATTTCGGTCACACCTGTTTAGAGGCACTCTGAATCCACTGACGTAGTGATTTTTTCAATATAAAAATCGCTAATGAAAAATCCCGATTTTCGACTAAGAAAAAATATCGTAGTATGCCCTGAAACTTCAATAAACATTTCAAATCTTGTCACAAGGTAGACCTTTCAGTACTTGAAATTTGAAAAAAAATTATTGAAATCGGTTCACAACTTGAAATTTCAGGGGGGTGTTTCCATTAAAAATGGGTCACACTGTATAATCATTATTATAAAACTATTTTCCACAGCATGTATGAAAAAATAATATGTGTATCAAACAATGTTTCTCTTTATTTTTCCATGCTTATTCTAGATACATTTTCATAATTGACAATAAGATGGTCTGAAGAGTTGTAAAATAATCGTGAACAATTTCCCGCAGAATATTTATCACATCTGTGAGGTACACGTTTTCTGATTCTTCGAAGGTAATTGTAAACCAAATAATCAATAAATTTTCTAATGGAAGCGAATACTATAAATGCCATCACAACGTTCTTTTTTTGTGAGAACAACTATCAAGGAACTCCGCCACAAATAAGTTAATATCTGCTACCTTGTCTCACCATTATACATTAGTGGAAGATATTTGAATAAAAATATTACATAATGTGACTCAATGTTCCCTTCCTTAGAAATCACGAAAACTAACTGATTCCAACTGTTCATCAATGACAACAAAAATACTCACGTCTCACAGAGCCGTACGGAATGTCATCTGCGTTACGAAGACGATTACAACATTATGGAGCCTATAAAGACATTTATGATTCAGTTTATGTCACTTTGATGGTCGTTTTTAAGGTAATTTTGAGAGCAAATAGCAACATACTGGTACTTACTTTCTCAATTTACGACCATATGTGTTGATTATGTAGTTGAGGATAAAATGTATGAAATATGAATAATCAGTAAATTTCTTGATGTTACGAATTTGAATTTCTATAAGAACACAACAAAACTTGGAGGAATTTGAAAAAATAGTTTCCAGCTTTGATTAAATTGATCATTAACATAAATTTATGAACTGTTCTATGGTATTCATCAACCAAGGAGCCAACCTCAGTAAAGTTAATAATTCTATTCGGTTTTCGAATGAATGTTTGAAGATAATTTGAGATATCTGGATCATCATCATGCTTATACCATAAATCTGAAGGAACATAGAAACAGTTTCCGCACTGTTAACAAGTTTCCATGTAAATACATTACATTTTAATAACTCAGTTGCTTGGGAAAATTTAATTATGAGAGGAAAGGCAGAAATTTCCAACGCGGTACCCCTTTATGCATTGTTCTATATTAAATTTCACGTACTCAACAACTCAAAAGATGGAAATGGGGATTGTCTCCGAGGATAACTTCAAAATTGTAACATCAAGATTTTAATAGGTTTATTAGACCATTTGGTGCTTTGAAGTATGGTTTTGTTTGGAGTCCCTATTTCAAAGGTATTTGTTTTGTTTCTCCGTCGCATTATGAATAAGAATGAAACGGTGTTTAATTGCCTCAACTGTATCAGAATACTGTCAGCAGTTTTACACTTCGATTATTTTTACTTTACCGATACGTCATCGTTGATGTGCATATGAAATAAATCGCGAAATTGTGGTCAAATGTAAGACGAAGTGGCTAATATCCCGATAAAAATTATAACGTGTAGGTAATGACAATAAATTAACATTTTCAAATTTATGGAAATGTCAGATCTTCACACATTTCAATGACTTGTTTTTTATTCAACTGAACGTACCTACCTATCACAGTAAATATCAATGACATAAGAAATAAACACGTCAGAGAGTCAGCACGATACTTGGTTACATATTTCATGTTGTAAGAACAACCTAAAGATACAATATATTATATACCTATCTATCATCACATTTTGATAGGATAATGAATCATGGAGGCATGTTTATAAAATTTCCTCATTTACTAGAAACTTTTAACCCCTCCCACTCATCTAATTTTAGTCACACTGATAAAATATACAAGAAATTCCATCAAATCCTAACAACCTCAAAAGTTAGTTTTTATGTAGATGTGACAGTTAACCAAAAAGGTGGCATTGCAATGTTTCCAAAACTTTTGCAGACATTAATATTAACAAACGAGTTTCCATTAAATCATCCGTGCATGGATGCAGAGACACAAATGAATGTCTAAAAAGTAGAAAAACACCATTTGAAACATATTTGGTCAGGAAATACTCAACACATCATCAACTAAAAATTTATTTATACATATACGTATGCATTGCGAGCACGTACAATAATGTACCTACCATTTATGAAAAAAAAATTAATATATTAATCACTTTCAGATTCAGAACTTTCACCAATGTTTCTGCCCTTCAGGTAAATCTGATGTTTTTTTTTTGATACGATGTCTACTTCTTCCTGGAGTTGATGGAATGGGTTTGTGTTTATTTCTTTGTTTGATGTTGAACACCATTTTTTGAGATATTTTAAGTGCATCTGCAACTCTCTAAAATACAATTAAGAAAAGTTATGACATTTCTTTTATGATTTTAATGGTTACCTCTTGAACAGATGAAAATGGTAATAAAGGTCCTCCATGCGCTCTCTCCCTTTCAAAATATTCGCACAAGTTCAACACAAATTGTTGTGTTTGTGAATTAAGAATACTTCCAGGCATAATCTAAAAAGGAGTATAAATATAAAGTACATATTTTTGGCATGACTTCATAGATTTAATTAATGTTATTTCAAAACTTAACTACCTGGACATAACCAACGGATATAACCACAACAAAACACAATTTCAAATGACAATATACAGGAAACCTACACAAACAAGTTCCACCATACCCGCAAGTTCAAACCATCCACCATCACAAAAAATGGCTGCATATAACGCATTCATATATAAAATGTTACGGATGCCACTCAGCAAGGAAGCCCGGAACAAAGAACGAAAAATCCCATACCAAATAGCGAACGAAAACGGTTATACCCAAAAGACAATAGATGAATTCGAATACAGAATCAAACAAAAGATACAGAACAAGGATCAAGCCAACCCAACAGACAAAACAACACAACGATGGACAGCATTTACGTACATTGGACACCAAACCAAAAAACTAACAAACATCTTCAAGCCTTTGAACATCAACATCACATACAAGCCAAACACGAAAATGACACAAAAAATAAACATCTATGAAAAAGAAGAAGACAAAAACCAAAACGTGATATACAGTATACAATGCTCGGACTGCAACAAATTCTATATCGGCCAAACCAAGAAATAACTGATCCAAAGGTACGATGAACACAAAAAGGCATACATAAACCCAATAGTATATAAATCAAAACTCGCAACACACGCCATACAGAACAAACATAACTTTCCCCCACCAGAGAACATAAAACTCATAAAACAAGTCAATAACGGAAACCGCATGGACATTTGGGTAAACTTAAACATCCATAAATTTAACAGTCAAAAATCACTTATCGAGGAACAAGTACAAATAAAAACACAAGAAGACCTTACATTCAATATATTAAACACAACAATATACACTCCTAGAAACAATAAACCTAGAGAAAATTTAACACAAAGAATAGTACCTGATGTAATCCAAATACAGGCAAATTTACCTAAATGTCATTAGTGCTCAGTTTTCCAAAAATTGAAAAATGTTCAATGCTGTGAAATTGAGAAATTTTCATGAATATATAACAATCATAGCGTTTCATTTCCTGTTGTTCAGTTTATCCATAACAAATTGAAATTCAGGGCGCCTATGAACCAGCCCAGAAGGTTCGTTACGTTGTTTGTATCTACAGTCGTGATGTATTCAATATCATTTGTCAAGAGAATCGAAGCTATAATAATTATGTTGACTGACATCGAAATATACATCACTAAATTATATCCTACTGTTGATCAAGATACTCCAATATTAGTTGCGCTGTAATATATGTCACTCCTTCCAAATGACTGACGCTGGAATAATGATTTTGATTTGCGGACGATTTTTCCAGTTTGAATAATAATGCATCAACCATATTGTAGGATTTTGATAATAAGGAGACAAGTGGAATCTAATATTTTAATGAACGGTGTTTCTCGAAAATGATCCACAAAGAACAAGCCCATGATTTCAAAATATGCTCAGTGATTTTTGTCACGCTTGAATGGATAAAAGAAGGAGCAAACTGACGGAACGTACTTAATAAATGATTTGATTATGCGTGAAAGCTATTTTCCGGGTTTTTTGATCGTGGTCGGCAGGTTTTCGTGCCTGACGCTTCGTCTAATACTGCGGTAGACTTCATCAAAGGCAATGTGGTAAAGGTAACTGTGCCTGAGTTGGTGTTCAGCTACAGCTGTCGGCAGATAATCCGAAGATTTACCGTCGTTTCTTGTCTTTGATGGTAATGCCTTCAAAAATTTGGAGACTCTTCATTTGTGTCATAGGTACTTACTTGTGATTTTGTTGTATAGGGTGGATAGATAGAAATTATTCATCCTTTGTGCTACATTACATAGATGTGATACGCCAAAAAAATCTTGATCGGATACATAATTCATGAGTGTATATTGAGTTAACATAAACAATATATGAAAGTAAATAATTGATATAATGAATGTAAAATTCATAAGTGGAATGAAATCAGAATAAATGAAGAAAGGAACATAAGATATAAGTAGTAAGTTTCAAATATCAATTATTTTTCAAATCAATCAACTGATGCATTTCATTCTCTAGTAGTTGGTTGAATGCATTTTTAAGTTTACACTCCAATAAAGTAATAGACTTAAGAAGTTTGAAATGGCAGAGGATGATACCATATAGCTTCGGTGAAACGTTAATGAAACTTGTTTGCTCAATAGTTTCGTACATGCGTAGTATTTCCAAAAAATCCATTCTGTATCGCATATTATGGATGTGGATGAGGGTATCCGTTCCTCTGAACTAATCCATTTGAAAGAATTTGTTGCCTCTTTTTGAGTCACCCTGTATATAGTATCCACCTTCTCATTTGACATAGTGGTACAATCATCAGATTCAGTTTGTTATTTCTCCAAATTCTTGTCTTGGTATCAATGAGATAGGTTATGTCGACTTTTTATGAGCAACAGACACAAAGGAATGGAAGATTCAAATCGATATTGTTTCCTATTTTATTTTCACAATTCGAATGGACATTCAAGAACGCAAATCTCATATTCTTGATGATGGTACATCATCACATCATATTCCAGAGAAACGTGAAAGTATATGGAATTCCATTTGTGGATGGCATCTATTCAATTTTGCAAACTGTTATCTTTTTGTTGGAAATTTACTGTTATAATCAACCTTGAGCTAAGATCGAGTGAATAATGAACGCCGTGGCTCTCTCTCACATTGAAACAATATATACATGTTCCACAGCGAGGCTCCTACCATCAATATTTCAAGAAATTGGCATGTGAGCATTCACAACCCTCGAATGAAGTGAACTTGACACACTTTCTCGAAAGGAAAGCCCAACCTCGCGCTCAGCACCAAATATATAGAGCTCCGATTTGCACGCGATGGAAGGCATTTCCTGCTATTTTCTTCACACCTGGTCTTTGCCAGTGTAATAGGATTCCAATTCTGGAAGTGCTTATAAGATCGTTTGAGCCGACATGGAAATGCAATCTCGACGACTCTTGCGTCTTTGATATGCGATATTTCGCATATGTCTACATATATTTCACGCTGTCATAATTCCTTATATTTACTCAATTTCGATGTTCAACATTGTCATGCTCAGATAGTTATGGAGGAGGAAAGTATATATTCAAAACACAACTCAACGAACCTTACACTTCAGACATTCATATTGTCATTGGAATACCCAACACGTGCAAGGTTACGCGAAGAATGATGGAAAAGACAAAAAAGAGACGCTGTTAAATCATCACAACAGAAGATGAAAATGTGACAAGAGGAAAACTAATAACTGGAAATCATCTAAGATTTACGAATATCAACAAAGAACAAGGTCGCGAAGCAAAGGCTTTTGCAATGAGCAGCGGACTTACTCAGATTATAAATGAACCAATCAGGATTCCTGATCGTGATGAAAAATATACTAGTCTTCTGGATCTATATCTAACAACCAATCCACAAATTCACACAGTCACCGTGGGATCTCCATCGGTCACAAATTCATTTAAGTGTTGAGTGAATCGCTGATAAATGTTAGGGAACAATCTAAGCCTCGCAAAGTTTTGGATTACAGATCAGCTGAATGGGAGGATCTTCAAGACTATTTTCGAAATTTCTCGTAGCTAGTTGTTTGTTTCAGCTCTAAAGATTCATCTATTTGTGATTCTGAAGTCACGGAAGTTATTTTATCATCGATGGTTGCATATATTCTTTTTCCAATGAAACGAACTTCTAACGGCAAACCTTGCTTCAAAAAATATTGCAATAAAGCAGTCGCCTTCAAAAATCTGGACTACTGGCAGTGGCGCAAAAATTCCAGTGCAGAAAACCGAACCAGATTTGTAAATGCTGCAAAAGCTGCAAACTTAGGATAAATGGAAGCAAAGAACTTCACAATCAGAGAATTAGGGATGAACTACTTGCCAATCCCAACGGGTCTAGATCATTCTGTTCAGTAGCTAAAGCTGGTAATCAAAACTTCACAAAATCCATAATTCCATCACGAATACAAGCGGATGGTTCAATTGTACCAACAGCCATGGTAAAAGCAAATCTGCCAGTTGAAAAATTTGTGTCCCACTCCACAGTCGATTTTCTAGTCAAGCGAATTCTAAAACAGCTCAATATCAACAAGGCGTCTTGTTCTGATGAAATGCCCGTCTTGAAAGAAAGGAGTTTTTCTTTCTGGTTGGAAGAATTCTCGCGTTCACCCTATTCCCAAAAAGGGCAAGAAAAATTTTCCAAATATCTATAGATCAGTCGCTTTGCTATCAGTGATATCAAAAATCATGGAGGAAACCGTAAACCACCATATCCTTGAATATTTGGAAGGTACCAACGTATTTGAAATAACGCATTCGACAAACATGGAGAGTCAAAAGCTGTAGTGCTTGATATTTCCATGGCTTTTGACCGTCTGTGGCATAAGGGTTTGCTGGACAAACTTCGAAGCTTATCGGATCATTTTTGTGTATGGTTCCTCGTCAGATTCCTGAAAGAGCGTTCCCTGCAAGTAGCCGTAGACGGATATCTCTCGAATAATTTACCATCAACGCTGGTGTTCCTCAGAGATCTTTATTGTCTCCAACCCTACTTCTATTATATATTAACGACTTATTGGGTAAAAACAGGAATACAATATATTGCTTAGCTGACGACAGCACACTCGTTTCATCATTCCATTTGGACTTTAGGACATTGGTAGAGAATGCACATCTTCACCGGCTGAAGGAGGTTGCATATCTTAATGAGGATAGAGAAGTAATTTCGAATTCAGGTGAAAGTAACCAAGTTCCGTTCAATACCACAATAACCCAGGCATAGGTTTTCTTCAAGAGGATGAATTTCGGATATAATAATAGTCCAGTCATTATAGTAAGTTCACCTCGGAATTCGAGATACCCAGCAGTAAGTCTGTAAATACTTGTATATTGACACCCTTAAAGTTGTCTCGGAACCTACATATGGTAGGGTATAAGCAACTATTAAATTTCAAGGTCAAAGGTCACAAAAATCGGTTTTTTGCGCTTTTTTTGGAAATATCTCATTTCCTATGGGTTTTTTGCTATTTGTATTACTCTCATTATTGTTTCCACACTCCCAATTACTCTTGTATAATATCCCGGTAATGCAGAATTATAGTCACAAATGTCAATTGTGAGGTTGGAAATATTAAAGAACATTTATGAATGAAACACATTGTATTGTACTTACTTTGAAAGTAATGATGCCAAGCGACGTTTAGCTTCGAAAAAACTATTTTTGTAATATATTTGACTGCAAAATACTGTAAAACTGACGAAAATAATACCCAATAACATAAAACAATGATACTGTCAACTGTCAATATCATGTCTGGCAAATGTAGATAAATTGTAAAACACTGTCGGCTGTCTGGTTATCTCTTTCCACTGTTATGAGTATTAATTGATCATCACTATAACATAAGTCTTTGATTAGAAGACAAATGTTAACGAATTGTCATCTCTTCATAGCGGTTGATAGAAAGAGATGTTACATAGAGGGTGTTTGATTTCTATGATCATGAATTGATGACGCATCGGTAAAGTTAAAATAATCGAAGAGTATCTGAGAGCAGATTGTGGTTAGGTTCTGCTCGCCAAAATTTGAATCAGTTTGTGAATGTTGTTTGTAAAATGAATCTGTTTCCCCAAAAATAGTATCACAAGCTTTTCAGTGCATAATATGACTATATAACGGTTAAGTGAAACAACTGCAGAGTAGCACTTCTTGCTGCCTAGTTGAACTTCGATGATATTTTATAAATTTCAAAGTGAGATGCTATGATGGAAATATTTGGTTGTTTAAAAATTTCTGACCGTATTCATGAGTCTACTTTGAACTGTGATATCTCTGTGGAAACTTATTCATTTCATTCGAAATGGACGCCATTCGAATCAGTGCACTCTCACCAACGTATCACAAATCGATTATATTCGTCGGTACATTGTCTGATCGGGATTCGATGAAATCGATGAAGGCCGTTTATGCCTGGCCTTGCTTGATGAAGGTTCTGGTTCTACCGGTGAGAAAAGTATCAAAGTTCATGAAAGATGGTAGTAGGTTGGCGAGTATGGTGGCTGGGGCAAAACTCGTAGCAATTTTCAGTACATTTCGTCGATTTCTAGGTCACAAATTCATTTAAGTGTTGAGTGAATCGCTGATAAATGTTAGGGAACAATCTAAGCCTCGCAAAGTTTTGGATTACAGATCAGCTGAATGAGAGGATCTTCAAGACTATTTTCGAAATTTCTCGTAGCTAGTTGTTTGTTTCAGCTCTGAAGATTCATCTATTTGTGATTCTGAAGTCACGGAAGTTATTTTATCATCGATGAGTGCATATATTCTTTTTCCAATGGAACGAACTTCTAACGGCAAACCTTGGTTCTAAAAATATTGCAATAAAGCAGTCGCCTTCAAAAATCTGGACTATTGGCAGTGGCGCAAAAATTCCAGTACAGAAAACCGAACCAGATTTGTAAATGCTGCAACAGCTGCAAACATAGGATAAATGGAAGCAAAGAACTTCACAATCAGAGAATTAGGGATGAACTACCTGCCAATCCCAACGGGTCTAGGCCTTCTGGTCAGTAGCTAAAGCTGGTAATCAAAACTTCACAAAATCCACAATTCCATCACGAATACAAGCGGATGGTTCAATTGTACCAACAGCCATAGTAAAAGCAAATCTGCTAGCTGAATAATTTGTGTCCCACTCCACAGTCGATTTTCTAGGAAAAGTACCAACAACTATTCCCACACTAGAATCCACAATGCTGGAAATTACTTTTTGACAACGTCTAGTCAAGCGAATTCTAAAACAGCTCAATATTAACAAGGCGTCTGGTCCTGATGAAGTGCCCGTCTTAAAAGAAAGGAGTTTTTCTTCCTGGTTGGAAGAATTCTCGCGTTCAGCCTATTCCCAAAAAGGGCAAGAAACATTTTCCAAATATCTATAGATCAGTCGCTTTGCTATCAGTGATATCAAAAATCATGGAGACAACCATAAACCACCATATCCTTGAATATTTGGAAGGCATCAACGATGGTTGTCCATCGACAACCATGGAGAGTCACAAGCTGTAGTGCTCGATGTTTCTATGGTTTTTGACCGTGTGTGGCATAAGGGTTTGCTGGCCAAACTTCGAAGCTTATCGGATCATTTTTGTGTATGGTTCCTCGTCAGATTCCTGAAAGAGCGTTCCCTGCAAGTAGCCGTAGACGGATATCTCTCGAATAATTTACCATCAACGCTGGTGTTCCTCAGAGATCTTTATTGTCTCCAACCCTACTTCTATTATATATTAACGACTTATTGGGTAAAAACAGGAATACAATATATTGCTTAGCTGACGACAGCACACTCGTTTCATCATTCCATTTGGACTTTAGGACATTGGTAGAGAATGCACATCTTCACCGGCTGAAGGAGGTTGCATATCTTAATGAGGATAGAGAAGTAATTTCGAATTCAGGTGAAAGTAACCAAGTTCCGTTCAATACCACAATAACCCAGGCATAGGTTTTCTTCAAGAGGATGAATTTCGGATATAATAATAGTCCAGTCATTATAGTAAGTTCACCTCGGAATTCGAGATACCCAGCAGTAAGTCTGTAAATACTTGTATATTGACACCCTTAAAGTTGTCTCGGAACCTACATATGGTAGGGTATAAGCAACTATTAAATTTCAAGGTCAAAGGTCACAAAAATCGGTTTTTTGCGCTTTTTTTGGAAATATCTCATTTCCTATGGGTTTTTTGCTATTTGTATTCATTATCAATATTGTAGAATACAAAATTCTCTACAAATTTTGTTTAAAAAAATTTTTTATACGGTGAACCGTTCTCGANAATACAAATAGCAAAAAACCCATAGGAAATGAGATATTTCCAAAAAAAGCGCAAAAAACCGATTTTTGTGACCTTTGACCTTGAAATTTAATAGTTGCTTACACCCTACCATATGTAGGTTTTGAGACAACTTTTAGGGTGTCAATATACAAGTATTTACAGACTTACAGCTGGGTATCTCGAATTCCGAGATTCTTACCCAATTTAAGCTTAAATGACTGGATTATAATGTCAGGTCTGACCATTCCACTTTCTGCTTCGATAAGTTTGTTGAGTTGAAATGGACACCAATATGTCTTGGCACTATCATGTCGCTGGAATTGCTAAAGGCGCTTCTCAAAAACTTGAAACAGTGTTCCGAACCAGAAAACTGTACACACTTCAGCAACTTTTGATGCGTCATGAAGCTCAGATCAGACATACCTACCCCGAAGCTGCTGTATTCCATCCAGAGAAGAGCCATCCGCCTGATTGAAGAAGCGAACATCACTTACAACCTTGATAGTCTGGAACATCGAAGAAAGGTTGGAAATGTGTCTCTCTTCTATAGATACTTTCACGGAAAGTGTTCAAGTGACTTGGCACATTCGATTCCACCAAGAGCGGTACATATCAGAAAGATGCGACGGACTGGGGCTGCTCATCATTTTGAGGTTCACCTGAGTACACCTCGAACTTCACTGTTCAAGAAGTTTTACATTTGGAGAACTTCGTTTATGTGGAAGAAACTTCCTGAGAACGTTTTCCCAAAAGGATTTAATCGTCAGCAATTCAAAACCAATGTAAATCATTACTTTCGCACTGGCACCGCTCTTAGAGTACTTTTTTTAATGTGCTTGTTTTGTCTGTCGAAAAATGGCTAATTGAATCTTTCACTGAAATGATGGCCAAAGAATCTTCCAGAAATAATGAAACAAAAAGTCGAGAAAGTAAAACATGAAAACTATCTAAATAATAACCTGAATATAATCAAAATATCGAAAAAGCCCTCTTAGATACCAACGACAGTAACTGAAGACTTTCCAAAAATATGAGGCAGATATATCAGAAAAATCAATTTTGCCTTTGTCTAAGGTTGAAGATCGTTTGTAAATCAGATTGAAGTAGATAATTTGATCGACCAATATGCCTCTAGTTTTGAAGCAAGGTCAATATATGTCTGAGAACTTTATATTACTAACTGCGATATGAATGGGAAGCGGAGATCTTAGCTTAGAGTTAGCACTGTGAGAATAAGTTATTGAACGTATAATTCGGGCAAACGTGTTTCTTCACAATAAACGAAATAACTGAGCAGAACTGGAATACCTATGGGACTAGTTCAAACGATGAAAAGAAGGTGAAGCCCACAAAATAATCATCAGAAAAGCGAGGAGTAGTTGATACTTTAAGGCATCGGTTTTCGATGATCAGAGCCTCAAGATGTCACGACCCTAAAAAGAAAAGCTGGAGCCTGTTGGCCTGAGTTCATTCAGATGATAGATGATATATAGTCAGTGATATAAATAGACACAGGAGTCCAAAGATCGTCTCTTCAAAAAAGTCTCGAAAAACTTGTGCACCATTGTCGAAACTTGTATAAGCTAAGGACTAACGAGGTCTTACCTTTTAGCGTGTGATTCCTTCATGTATATATTGTAAATAGAGTTTTTTGTTAGAATCATAATCTAAATAGGCAATGCGTGATTTCGATTTTGTTTTTTTTCAATCATTTTTAATCCAAGAATTGAGTTAGTATGAGAAAAATACCATTGAGATTACCGGTCACTTGATTCACCTGGAACTTTGGTTATTAAGTTTTTTATAAATCATATAGGTATGGGCGAATATATTTGGGAAACCCAAAATCTGAATTCCTAGCAAATTAAGGCGCGTACTATTGTAATGCGCGTACTATTGTACGCGCCTTAATTCAATAAACCGAAACTTTTCAAATAATATAGAAAATTGGATCATTGAAAAGAACTTGATTTGTTTCGTAGTTCATATAAAAACATTCCCACATAATGAATTGCAGACAATTACTGTTGATTGTAAATTTCATCGTAATAATTTCATATATATCATGGTTTCATGAAATATTTTTGAAAACGAAGAAGATATTGTCTTATGTTACCCGCAATGCGTGATTTTGTCTCATAATAATTCGGTGGGTTCTTCCGACTGGTACTTTTTTCAACTAATTACCGTAACGTAGTTAGTGGGATTCTGAACTGGACACGGAATCTGAAATTACCCAAATTAGGACAAACACGAAAGGTTTAGTTTACTTTTTACCTCACCTAGAGCAGCTCTGATATTTCATAATTTTCCAGACATATGCGACAGTCCGACAGTCCGAGTCTCTGAATATGATGATTCAAATAACGGTGACCTTGAAGAAGGTCTGTTAGACATCCTAGTTCATTCCTACTGTAGTCTGTAGTCTACTGAAGATTCTGCCAGAAGTCCATAAAGCCTAAAGCAATGTCAATGACAGATTCTGGTCCAATGAAGCTGCTTGCAGCACCCTCCTTTACAAGGGAGTCAGTAGCCTCATTGCCTTCCAGGCCAGTATAGTCAAGAATCCAAACCAGAGACAATTTGTTAAGTCTTCCTATCGA